GTGGAACATCATTATTTGAGGCTGGCCAGACAGGCAGGAAGGAGGTTCAGGATGTGGTGCTTGATCCTGTACAAAGCGTAGTCTCCCCAGCAAATGCATGCAGGCTGTGAGAGAGTAGGGATACCGCTGGCATGATGAATGGAAGGCTGCTGAGTAGCTAAATCTTGAAATTGTGCTTATCTATCTATAGGTAGCCTTGCCACCAGGAGAGCACTAATCTTCAGATGATACCTGCAAGTAGCATCTCTCCTTCCTGTGTTCAGCAAGCTTTTCTTTTTTCTTTTTTCTTTTTTTTTTTTTTTTTTTTTTTTTTTTTTTTTTTTTTTTTTTTTTTTTTTTTTTTTTTTTTTTTTTTTTTTTTTTTTTTTTTTTTTTTTTGCGATGTATTTCTATATTGCCTCGGCTAGCACCAAACTCCTTGGTTCAAATGATCTCCCTGACTCAGCCTCCCAAATAGCTGAGATTAGAGCTGTGCACCATCATGCCAGGCACACACCTTTTTTGTTGTTGTTGTTTTGTTTTAATTTATGCCAAATTCTGCATTGGGCACCAGGGATGCCAAATATACAGTGGATTCAGACTATACAAGGCCCATTTTGGATGGGAGAAGACTTCACGGAAATAGAAAAGCGTAAAATTAAGGGGTTAATTTAGTACCAAGCCACATACAGAGAGACAGGAGAGTGAATGAAGGGCATGGCTGGGAAGTTCTTCTTGGAAGAGATCAAAGACATGGTTGTAGAATCAGGATGAGTCAACCTAAAATTGCTTTTTGGTCATAAATAACAGATGATCCAAATCAAACAGTCCTGAAAAATGAAGTTAATTTCTCATATGAGTCAAAGCTCAAAAGAAGAATGGCTATCTATAGGGGTTCACCATGTTTTCAGGACTCGGCCTCCATTCTCTGTCCTCCCTGAGTCAGCTTCTTTCTTAGGCTGACTTTCCTCGTGGTAACAGAATGGCCACAGCAGATCCAGACCTAACACCCACATGCCAAACTCTCCAGACACCCACCATTCCCAGCAAAGATCCTGACATTTGCTCTGCTGGATTGGTTTAAGTCACAAGCCTTGTTCTGGTTCGGTCACTGAGGCCAAGGGCACAGAGTGCTCTGGCTGTCTTGACCAAAAGAAGTAGAGCGCCTAGCTAGGCACTGATAGTATTGATCATCAGCAAACAGTGGTATTGGTCTCTGAAAAGAAGCACCTGATTCTTCAGTGAGAAGTGAGTAGAAAAGAAATCCAGCTTTTGAAAACCAAGAAGCAAAAAACAGTCTTCAAGGAAGGAAATATCATCCTTCATCCCACCTTGGCTTTTGGTAATATAGTTAGCGATGAACCTCACTTGGCTTGGCAAGGAGCCCCACTGGAGTTGTCTGTGTTATGCTACAGTAACAAATAACTCCCAAGTCTCACTGGCTTGATACAAGTGTGCTGTGAGTCCCTGGGACAGTGTGCCTCCACACGATGCCTGGGGATCCAGGCAGGAGTCTCCACCATCCAGTACCTGCACTTTCTGGAGTGTGTGCCCCCACCTCCCCCAAGTCAGAAGCAAGAGAAGAGCTAGCTAGCAGGTCGCGCGCCACAAGTCTGGTGCCACCACCTGGATGCAGTTGTTGGCCAAAGCAAGTCCTGTGGCCATATCTATCCAACATCAAGGCATAGGCCATGTGGTCTGGGCCAGAGCAGAGGAAAACTGGATACTGGGGACCACAGGGAACAGCTGCTCCCATGCCCCTCGAGCAGGAGCGGAGCACTGCGTCAGGTGGCCACTGAGTCCTCCACTTGCCCCAGCCTTCTGAGTCCAGCTGCCACATGCGGGAGCCTGTTTCCAGAAGGGAGGAGACTGGCAATGGAAAGATTAACTGCTCCCCGGGCTGCACTTGGGGATCAGTATTTTCAATAGCACTTTCTGAGTTCAGCCTCAAAGTAAATGGTTAATTCATCTTATATCAACAGCACTGTGATTCATAATGTAAACTTGGAGAATTTTTGATGTCTCGGGCCCACATTCCTTTTAATTTGCCTCTGCATTCTTTTAAAGCCACAGTGTGCTCACTTAATGGAATGCAGCATGCAAATGCACAAGTTTTTGCCTGGAGGCAATTTAGCCTGGCTGTTTCAATGGACGTCTTCTTTCAAGTGTATACTCTTTCTTAAATTATTTACTGGATAAACACACTTTGCATTTTCAACAGGGAGATTAAGACTGCTTGCTACAGACCTAGTTGAACATCAAGGCCCCTTGCCTAAAGTTAAGAGGGAGTTACTTTGGGCTTCCCCATAGTTCTTTCTCTGGCTTGTTTTGCGGATTCTCTCCACATTCTGTTCCTTTCGGCTCTGCCCAGTTGCACTAGGCCAGCAGCAACTGGCCATGGCTGTTCTCTGGGCTTCTTCGCAGACAGGGTCTTCCACTGCCAACCTTTGTTTCCCCGCTCCAAGCTGGCTCTGTCCTGTCCGTTCCAGGGCCCTGATGGCTCACTTTTCTTGTCCATACAGAGGCTATATTTGCCCAGCTTCCTTGAGGTGCAAAGCTAGGTGACAGCCTCGCCGGTCCAGCTTACTTACAACCCTCTGTGTTCCAGGTCTTTGTGTTCCCTTTGTTCTTCTCATTCCAAACACCAGGCAGAAGCAGACAGCCCAGTCTCCAGCACACACCTCTGGTCCTTGGAGACTGATCCTTCTCCTGGTTTGAGGAGAAAGCCCAGCGGTCCTTGGTCCTCACGAACCCACGATGGAATACAGTTCTGTCGTTGGGGGCTGGTTTCAACTTTTAACTTCAGCCCTTTCTGCTCAGAACCCCTGATATCTTTCTGCCAAGTGAATTTGCACAGATCTCTTCTCCATTCTCCTTTGAAAGGAATCATTGCAATTACTAGGGACTGTGTTCTCTCATCATCCTCCTTTGCTCCATCCTCTTTTGAGTCCCGGAGTGCCGGCCGCTGTATGGCGGTGTTGGGGCTGCGGAAGTAAATTCCACATGATCCCCACGGGGAAACCACCTGACACAGCAGAAGTGTTCTGACAAGAAACCAGGCGGCTCTAAGGATGGTGAGCCCTGTCAGGAAGGCTAGAGAAGAGCTGAGAACCCAGGGGTTCCTGTGCACGCATTTTTTCCTAACCCTGCGTCAAATTAAAGAAGTAACACCCCCAGCTAATCCTTTATAAATCAGAGTCATGGATGCCTTGGAGCCCTCCACCCACAAATGAAATGGTTGTCAACCCAGTTAGGGCAGAATTTTAAAAAGAGTTCTCAAGCTTTTAATCTGTTTCACTGCTGAGTTTCAATTTTGCTGATTTCCTTTGCAAGTTGGGTGCAAGTGACCATGGTAAATAAAGATTTTGACAGTGACTTGGGATGTGTGGGGACTGACCCTTCCAGAGGAAAGGGGGGAATCAAGTTGTGTTTTAAATGGTCACCAAGTAGCACCAATCAGTGTTCTTAATTAGCCTCACTGCAATAAACCACGGAGATCCTGTTTTTATCTACTTACGGAAGGGGCAGAGAATCTCCCTGTCTCCCAAGTAAATGTGGCCTGTTAAATCGGAATTACCTGTCCTCACAGAAGAATTAATGTCAGGCCCGGGCTTTCTAGTGGTGAAGTGGAGAAATAAACGAGACAGATCTCAGACGAGCCTGTGTGATAAATGAGGACCAAGCACACCATTCATCTCCTGCAAGGAAAGTGGACACAGGCACTAACGCAGTTTTGCGGAAGACGTGTCAGCAAATGTGATCATTTTGTAACCTGTCAGGAGGGAAGGGAGCTGGTCCTGTTAGGGGCCACAGGGGAGCAGGTTGCTCTAATGTGACAGTTACCATCCATCCAGTTAGGTGTGGGAAGGGGGAAGCGGGTGAGGGGTCTCAGCTAAAACTACAACCTGGTGTCGTCCTCCTTCTCAGAAACAAACATCCAGATGCTTAAAAAAGCCGTAATCGTGCTGCCAAGATTCCTTTACACAGCAAGAGCAGCCCCTGCTCAGTGGAGACCTGGCTCGGTCCCTCCTGGCCGCTCCCTGTGGGAGACCTCTGTCCCGTGTCCCGGGTCTGGAATGAGGCACAGACCTCCTCCTGCCCACATCTGATTTGCTGTGAGCCTTTAAGCCGCTGGGCAGCCAGCTAGACGGCCAGCCACTCTGGGTTTCTATTTCTGTGTGGCTCAGCAAGAGCCAGCGTGGGCGAGGCTGCTGGACCTAGGTTCCCTTTGAAAGTCTCAACAAAGCATTCTGATGTGCGACCTCTTTTCTCCGAATGAGGTAACAAATTATGAAACAACTTCACGGGAAGCTCTCGGCAGGCATCTGCTCGCCTATCCCCTCAGCTTCTTCCCAGGTCAGCAGCACCAGGCCCAGACCACGGGAGTGGGAAAGCATGTGAGGCAAGTCCCCCCGCACACTACAACAGGCACCTTGAGGACTTTCCATTTTTCCTCATTTCCATCTTTCTTTGCTGTGGAGCAAATGTAATATTTCCTGCTGGCACTATGGAGCGTGAGCCACAGTGACAGATGAAGGCTTCACAGCCTAGGCTGCGAGTTTGACACTTGCTTCTTAATCCTGTCCTTTTCTCGCTAAGTCTCTCCTTTACTTTTCCTTGGGTATTTTTTATACAGGTAAGTACCTTACTGACATGTTTCCTTGGAGTCTTTTCCTTTCACAGGAAACACTGAAGAAGAAAAAAAAATGAGGCTTGTCTCACATTTTAAATTAAAAGAGAAGCTCACATGGGGTCCTTGATCCTGTAAAGAGACGACATGGTACTTGGAGCCTGGAAAACCATTTGATTCACTCTAACTTTGCAGTGAGCATTTCTGTGAGTGCAGTGTGACAAGCACTCTGGAGCTGTCCGTAGAGCCAAAGCTGTGTGATCTCACACACACACACACACTCAGGGCACAGTCAAGGGTGTTAGTATCATTAGCCAGCCTGGCCTTGGACAAGCTTCATCCGAGCATGCTCCGTTTACCTGTGTGCACCTTTTTCTTCCCTGCCTCCCAGAATCATCCAGAACCGCATCCTGCTTGTCATCTTGGGGATCATCGTGGTCATCACCATCCTGACGGCGATTGCTTTTTTCGTCAGAGGACACTGATGAATCTCCTCTCCCTTGATAAACATCAGCCTCGGCATGTTCTGAGTAATTAAGACAAAATGGTCACATGAATCATTCTCTTTCGCTGACAGGCCCTGGGTGACCTTCTCTCTCCCTCACCACTCTTCAAGTGCTCAAGTGCAAAGAGTGTAAAAATATTTTCTATTCCTGTTTGCATGTGGGTTGGTTTCCTTTTCTAGGTTTGTCTTCAGCCAGATTTTTTTTCATTCATTTGCCTTTTGATAATTTCATCTACTGTCCAAAATAGCCTCAGTGAGATCTTTCTTGCCCTGTGGACATGTCAGGGGTTATGGTTTCAGAGAAGACATAATGAGTCAGGCACAGGAGCGTCTGTTTGTCATGAACTTCTTGTCACCAAAATCTTTTTGTGATGCCCGAGGATACAAATGCAAAGAAAATCAGGGGACAGAGCCGGTGGCCAGCTCCGGCAAGCCAGCCCGGTCCCTTCCCAGGCATAATGAATATAGTCAACCTGTCCAAGTCCTTTTATTGCAACAAAGGGTATTTAATGTCACTTGTACAGGAAATGGACTTAGCACTTTCCCTGGTTTTCTACTGTGTAATTCTTTAAACTGGAGAACATTTTTGCTGACCTTACCCAATATGTACTTTTCACAACTTTGGTTACTGGCTACAAGGAATATTTCTTTGCCTTCCCCAATTCCCATACTCCTCCGAATTTGCTGGCAAAATGAGCCCTAGCACAGTATTTAATTTCGACCTCATCTTCCCTGACCTGTGTAGGCATCTCTGTATCCTTTCGGTTTTAATATCTGCACTACCAAAAGCAACCCTCATACATGCAAAAGGTCTGACAAGGTTCGCTCCACATCCATTCTGGTATGTAAAGAGAACATGAATATTTCAGTAAGAGCAAGAACATGACTCCATCTGTTCGAAATTTCCAAGGTGATTATGAATATGGGAGAGTCCTGCAGGATGATCCACTAGAAATAAACGCTCACTAACCTCCTTTCAAAGGAGAAGGACTGAAGGATGTTATGAAAGGACAACATGGGTTTTTTACTAACAAATGTTAGCAATGCCTTCCTGAATTCACTATGTATTCAAACGTCTAACGTGCTTTTTTCTTTCTGTCTGAGGTAACCGGGAATTGCGTTCAAAATGAGTTCATTTGTGATCGGCCTTAAAAATTACCCAAGCTGAGGGGAAAAAGTCATCTTCCCCCTAGTTATAAAGCAAAATGTGTTTTTCTTGACTTCGTAGCCACTTACGGGGTTTCTACTATCTTTTGAATATAATTGAAAGCTTTGAATTCTTGAAACACAAACCTGTTCTCTTCATAAAAAATGCTAACCACCTGTGCTTGTGGATCAAGATTACCAGAATGCAACACTTGATTTTTTTTTTTTAACTTAGAGGAAAACTATTATGGTGTAGGGAGGAAATGCAGTATGCAAAATCCACCAGAGAAACCATACTTGTCGGGACAGGCCAAGGCCTGCAAGTGTTCGGATATCATTTAGCATTGTGGAAATAAAGCTGCAGCCTTTACATCAGAAGGCCATGTGAGGGATTTTGGCCAAGGGATAGTGAAAGAGCAGGAGGCTGTGGTAATTTTCTTGTCAGCTCAAAGGACCCATCGCAGCAAAAACCTCCTGATGACAGGATTCTGGATGTGCTGAACTCATAGAAGAAATCATTTAAAAGCAAAGAAGCAAACAACCCCTCCTCATCTGGAACTCTAGCGGTTGGTGAAGTACACCACCCCTCCGGTGGCTACCTTGGAAGCTGTTGGTCATAGTCAGTGCACAATTCCTTGATGAGCTGTGCCTCCCACTCCCTCCCAACCCCTGCTCAGCTCATCTTGCCAAGGCCACCTCGCCAGCAAGTTTCACCTGATCGTCTGGACTTGGTGACTCCTAGGTGTTTCACTAAAAGTCTTGTGTTCGTGGGGAAACTGATGAAATGAGAAGAGCAGAGCACTGTCCTTGCTTCCCTGGCCTCAGCTCCTCCTGTCCGGTTCCTTGTCTTTATCAGCCTTGGCCCAGGATTTTGCCCAGGTTCAACCTTGGGAGTGAGAAGACTGTGACTAGAAAACCCTTGGCTTGAGGCTCCATCCCACCTTGAGAGTGAGCACCCCAGCGACTAGGCCGCGGTGCGCTCTGTGAGGAGGCTGCTCAGAAGGTCCCCTGATCCCCCCAGCTGGTCCCGCTGCATGCTGCAGGCGGGACTCAGAGGAGGGGCAAGCCCAGGGACTCCCCCTCCCTCCCTGCCCCCCTGTGAAAGGAAGAGAGTCCACAAATTTGAAGCCTATTGAAAATAGGGGGAAGGTTCTAGTGGCTTAATATGTATACTTCGATTGTTGAATATTCCTGAAGCTGGGAGCCTTTGTTATAAACAATGTACAATGGGGAGGGTGGGGAAAGATAAAGGTGAAGATGTAGAGGAGGAAGAAGAGAAGGGAGCCCTTGCCGTATAAAATTCATGCAGACTAAACAGTTTCCCTGACAGAATAAATAAAACGGATGCAACCCTACTCCAGAATCAAACGCAATTTAATTAAAGTCTCTTAAGTTGTAAAGAGTTTTAAATGTTCCTTGTTGAAGGCGAATGCCTACAAATGCAGTAGGCTTGACGTCAGCTGCCAGGCCTGGGCTGGGAGGCCATTTGCTATTCTGTTTCAGGCAGGCTGGATTGTCTTATTTTGGAACCAGCTTGGTGGGGGGTTTGCTTTGCTACTGCTTCTGAGCCCTGAGCTTCAAAGGCTGAAATTAATGGTGAACAAAATTGTGCGGCTCTGGCCGTCCCATGCGGGGCAAGCCCATTGAGGGTTATCATTAAGTAAAGAAATAAAGAGGGGAAAAAAGCCTGCCTGCTCCAAAAACCTCATCAGATAATGACCTCAGTGATTGGGTTTTCATTACCAAACAGAATCCAGAGATTGTCAACCCATGGAAGGAGGGAGGGGGGAAAGAAAGGGAGAAAGAAAGAAAGAAAGAAAAAGAAAGAAAGAAAGAAAGACTGTCTTTCTCTCCCTCTTTCTCCTTTTTTTTTTTTTTTTTTTTTT